TGCTGATTGTCATTTCAATTGCAGACTGACCACTTCAAGGGCTCACTTAACCTTAAATCAAAGGATTTTTGATAATTTCTTAGCATTGCTTTAATCTCTAGAGTTTTTTTCCCCCCAAGGACTACAGTTTGTTCCTGACAGGCCTCCAAGTAGGTGCTTTTAGAGGCAGAGGCTCTCCTTGGAGTCAGCGTGGCGAGCTGTGTACCAGAGTTTCCAAGCCTGCAAAGATTCAAGCACTGTGGAAGCAGCATAACTTCATAGAATCATAACTTGCCTGTACAGAGAAGAAACAACTCAAGTTGACAGAAGGCGTAGTATGTGCTAGTTCTTACTTTGAGGGAAGGAGGGTCATTGATAGGCAGAAAAACGGAGATGTACCAAAAACCCCAAACACCCCAACAGCTAACAAAAAAATAACAAGCCGCAATTCCTTCCTCTTCACTTCAAAGCTAACAATGACTCAGTTTTCTCATCAGTGTGTCTGCTATCCAGTTTTACAACTAAGATTATTCTGGAATTTGCAAAATTGTAAAAGGATTTTTTAATCAAGTCTTTAGCAAGAACTAACTATTGTGGAGAGAAAAAAAAAAAAAAAGAGAGAGATGCATGAAAGTCTGTGGATCCTGCTCGTGTCTGACTTTCTGGACATTTCACAGCAGTTGTGGAAGAAATTAAAACATTGCATATTGTCATTTTAGACCTACAGTGCTACTGATACATATAAATGAAGGGTCAGAACGTGAACGACGGAGGTGACAACTTGCTTTGCTGTATGAGCTGTGTACCAACCTCTGCATGGTCAAGAGCTGCAAGATGGAACCTGTCCTCTGCATAGAGCTAAAGGATGAGAGAGCTTGGACTAGTTCACGGGCGGTTAGACCTGGAGGTTGAGGGGTGACAGGGCTGGACGTGCAGATGGGTTTAAGGCAGCTTGGTGGTGTTGGCCTCCTCTACTTCCATTTGCTTCTTCCCCCACCAGCAGCATCGGTGCCTGTGGAGTTGTCTTCTCCGTGGTAGCTCCTCGAGGGCTGCATCCAGCTATACACGCTGTTGTATTTTGGGAATAAGTCAGTGCAGTGGCTGTGGTGCTCTTCAGGTGGCACCAAAATGCAGTGTGTTAACATCCTCTCTAATCCTGCTTGGTCTGGCTTTTCACAGTGTGCTTGTTTCGAGTGTGAAACAGTAAATGTAAGCTTGAAGTACAGTCTGAGACAGTATAGAGCATTTGGATTTGTTTCGGGCTTTTTTTTGTCATGGAAGAGGAAGATCCGTGGCTTAACTCCACAAACTTGAATCACTGAATCTTTCTAATTTAAACTTCCTTCTATTTATCCTATTCATTCAGTGTGTTTCCTGTAATAAATCATTCAAGAAGCTCTGGTCCCTCCATGAACATATCAAGATTGTCCACGGATATGCAGAAAAGAAATTCTCTTGTGAGATTTGCGAAAAAAAGTTCTACACCATGGCCCACGTGCGGAAACATATGGTTGGTGAGTTATTGATCGGTGCTCCTGTTGGTTCTGCCTCATAATGTGTCTTTGGGGTTCCTACCTCATAATTGCTGTTTGGAGGAAAAATATAATAGGGCAAATTCAGTTGTCTGAGCTTTATCCAGAGCAAAAAGTTCAAGTCTGTAGTACTGGCAGCAAGCAAAATATGTATGTGTATGTGTGTACATATGTGTATATACCTACAAGCTGTACAGCACTAATCATTTTCCTGCTCAGCACTGGAGACAAAAATTGTTTCAAGAACTGTCTGCATTTGAATGACCCTGTAATGTACTGTTGTGTTGCAGCACACACAAAGGACATGCCATTTACATGTGAAACCTGTGGAAAATCATTCAAACGCAGCATGTCTCTCAAAGTACATTCCCTACAGCATTCTGGAGAGAAACCTTTCAGATGTGAGGTGAGGCAGCAACTGTTGATATGTTTAGATACGGTAGCATGAGGCATAAAATGAGCAGCACTGTCAGTAGGGCATGTAGGTGGAAACTGAATGGACTGACTTGTAAATGAGGTAGAGTTTCATAAAAACTGGGGGAAATTCCATGGGAGAGAGCACAGCAGGAGCACATCTAAGCAGCAGTTCATACTGAGGTGTATTTGGTTTGCTTTGCTGCTGGCTGTCATGTTTTTCTCGATGAGTACACAGTAGGGCAGGATTTGAATCCCTCGGTGTTCAGAGCAAAGCCTGATGCAAATTGCGTTAATCCTCCCTGGCCCGGCCAGTAGATAGAAAACAGACAGAAATGGTGACAGTGCAAATAAACAAATTACTGCTTGATTTTCATTTGAGGGTAAAACTGTTGTCCTCGCTGTAAAGTATTACCTCCTTGAGATCTAAGACAGTGCTCTGAACTTGCATTTCCTGAACTGAGTGTGTTGTTGAGGGGGGGTGGAGAATATCTCTCTGATGCATTCACATGGGTTTGTGCTTGTAATTTTATGGCTGCCCTCGGGAAGGAGACCGTGCGGGACACTTACCCAGTCATATGTCTGGGGCAGATAATGTCTCCATCATGTGATGGGGATGCTTGTGGGTATCACATGATGGAGGCAGAGGGGGTGCAGAGCCTTTGCTGTTCCCAGGACAGGTCTGGTGGCTCACCCTGCTGCAAAGGGGCACAGCTCCAACCAGACACGTTGTCGTAGTGGTGGTAGTGCAGCCAGAATAGTCTTGGGGATAAGACTTGT